TTTTGGTGTCTGGGACCAAGCCAGTTGGTTGATGGCGGCTTTGCGTACGGTGACTGGAAACTCAATATTCGATATTTTCATATTTTCTGATGGCATCTGCAATACAAACGTCTCGCTTAGATTCGGTTCGTTCAGTGTCGCTTGATAGGCGATCCTCAGAAATACCTCGATCCAAATGTCATAAGTTTCTGGTATCTTATCGTTGAACGCGATGTCGATCGATACCTTGCCGTCCGGATTGCGAACGTTTACTTCTTGCGATTCACTGTTCCAGAAGTACTTGCTCTGTATGCTCCTCAGTGCTTTCAGCGCAATGTTCTTCATGTAAGGTTTAACCTGTGACACAAACGCACAGTCTTGATAGTCGTAACAGAACAGAACGTGATCAGTGATCATACGTTGTTAAACTGAATGATGATCTTGTATTCGGCCGGTGTGCGTTCGCTTTCGGCGATCTCGTTGATGATCAACGGCGAGCAGTCTGAGCTACGTCTGCCACTGGTCCGGCACTGGCTTTCCAACGAACTGATGGCCGTACGTTTGAAAACCGGCGTCGTGTCGATTGCCTGCAAATCACCGTCGTTTCAGCACCGATTTGCGTTAGTCGCTCAGCAGACTTACCTTGATGTCGATGTAGTTGTCTGAGTCGCAATTCGCTCCCCACCTGATGTACGTGTCCAAGAACGGCTTCCTGCTTTCTTCGTTGTCCGTGTGCGATTCGATGCTTTTCGGCACCTTCGCGTCAGCGTTCAAGCACACCTGTACAATTCATAACCGTTGTTCTACATTGTCGCTTCTAGACGTTTCGATTTATTACCATTTTGCGTTCCGAGTCTTTAGGCGTCGAGTCGACGATGAGCATCGCCGAAATGCGCTGTTTCATTTCCACGTAATCGGAATTCATTCGAACGGTCAGTGAGTGATGACGACGGTTGGAGAATATCTCGCCTTTAAACTCGGTGCTTGCCGTCTCCGACTCCCGGCGACGGCGTTCATCGTCGTCGTCCCGCAATGCGCGCCGCGGACGTCTGTTCATCTCCCCTCCTTCGCTTGAGGTTGACCTCGACCGGTGCATATGATGGCGATCGTCGGTGTCAATCGGTTTCGTTTCTTTCGACACAACGATCGTGATCTGAACGACGCAAACAAATGGTGACCGTATACAACACTGCAGTCTCTAACAAATACTTGACAAATTGACAGCTGATTCGGCCATGGTGTACGAAAAGAACAAGTTTTTGCTAGGTCCCGTTCTTTCCGCATGCACAAGTCTTAGCAAGTCAATCGAAACCGACGCATATTGGCTAAACATTGGTTTTGTTTAGCACTCTTATCATCCCGACGATTTGCGGGCTTCTATCAACTCGCTCACAAATCGAAAAAACATGCTCTTTTATCCCTCAATTAATTCGGAATCGCTGAACAATGTTTTGAAGGATTTGAAAATGATGAGGATGAACACCTGAGAACTCGTCGAAAATCGTGCCCTGCCTGATTAGACTAATTTAACACCTACAACGGTTAAGGTTACCTGCTAATATGGTATTTCGTCGCCTTTCGAGGAATGAAGGATAGTTTGCAGCCGTTGTAATGTTGTACTTGCCTTTTGATGATGGCACCATTTTGGGGCCCTTCTTGGCAGGGTGCCGATCTCAATTTTCATGCCATTTGCCAAAAGTACTTTATTTTAAAGGCAGAGTCTACAACAGCCATGTGGCAACAAGCATAGCGTCTACTGTCTTGGTTTCCTCTCGCAGAGAGTGCTCACTTATTGACATCAGAACGAAGAGAGGCGAATACGTTGATCGGCGCCCGAATCCTGGTCCTCTGTGTTCTGAGTGCGACCCTCTACCGACTGAGCAACCCAGGTTTTTCATGGACATGTTGCTGAAAGCTGAGGTTTCGATGTTAGTATAAACAATATGAATTTGCATGCTCTCGTGTCAGACGTTCGTGCCAACTCCTCGTTTACCTCGTCCGGACAATCGTCGCCCCGTTCGATGCTCATCACGATCTTGTTCGGATGCGCCAGCGGCGTCAGGTAGTACAAGTAGTCAGTGAATGATTTCATGGTTGGTGGCCGGTGGACGATGCCCCTCATGCACAGCTCGACACCGATCGTCTCGCGGCCGATGCACTTCTCAAACTGAAACAACAACTCCCTCAGGTTGCGGCCACGTGTAACAGAAGCCTAACACTTACGCTGGTGACCGTTGACCTCGGTGAACTGAATCTACTACGTTCGTTCCATCGTTGTTCCTCATCGTGGTTTCGGCGCGGCTGTGCCTCGATCGTTGACAGTTTGCTCCATGTGCGTTTGTCCTCCTCATCGTTGTATACGTCTCTGTAGATCTCGGACGTAGACCTGTGTCGACGGCGGCGTTCGGCAAGTCGATCTTCGACCGATGACGTCGAGATCATCATCGTGCGTTCCAGATCGTCTGGCTCGTTATTACTGCGCGTGTACAACACGGGGCGGCTTTCGATCTTCAGGAAGTCGTGACGGACATTCTCAGGCGTCTTGAAGCGTATCGTGAACTTGCTCTTGTTCTGCGACTCTTCGTTCACGCGTACGTTAGATCGGATTGGAGAGTTGATCTTCAGGATGCGTTCCAGTTTGTAGCCGGTTTCGGCTCCGGGCGTTCGGCTTTCGATGCTGGTCGTACACGTCACACAAATGCTAAAAAGAAACCCGAATTACATGGTCATATGCCGTACGGTCATTACGGTCTCACAGAGTGACTATCGAAACTTCGTCTTAAAGCTTATGCTTCGTCTACTGTATGCCAGTCATTGCTGACCCGTGCATGCTGCCTTGATGTGGTGACAGATTGGCGTATATCGACTATGCTTGTGACCGGTGATTGTCTACCGCGACCATCAGTTGTAAATTGTGTCACCGAGGTAAGAGAACGGCGCTGTAGGAGAACGCAACCGGACATGCAGATATAGTAATGGACTTCCTGTTTCGAAAACAAAGTACTTAACGACGTAACGACAAACATCTCACACTACATGGCAGTGCAGCTCGAAACATTAAGCGAGATGGGTTCTGATCAGTATGAGTACAAAGAGGTTTGCGGTGACGTATCGAGAAATGACATCGCATTGCGAAGGTAATTCTAAACAGAGCCTATCCGGTTTACAACCGTTCACTTGGTTATTTCTACAGATCACTGTAAAATAGACGTAGAGATTACGAGCAACTTCAATCTTGAATGTCACACTGTGCTTAACTCGTTCTCACTGCAACTAGCAAATTTTGCTATTCATTGTGTAAACCATACAATAGCTTAATCGACAATCAAGGGCAACTTAGGGCTGGTGGTTACAAAAGCAGAGAATTGGTACCATTTCTAGAAGTTAACAATTCTTGCTCGGGTTCCTGATCAAATGGTTTTTAATAACCGAGTCAGGCAAAGAAGTTATATCCTTAAAGTAAAATAACATAAACTTGCCTTGGCTCAATGTCGATCTCGACATTTCTCTCATTCCCGTCTCTTTCGGTGAATGGCTTTCGTACGTGGCCGTTTATCGAAATAATAGCCGGTACTCTGGTTTTGTACAGTAGCTGCGTGCCCATGACCGTCGGAATCATGTACTCCATTTCGTGCAGCATGGTTGCCTCTTTGACGTTGAATGCCTCACCGCGTGAGGAGCGGATGTTCAGCCGCTTCTCCATCGAACGGATGATGCCCTCGCTCAGAAGGTCGCTGAACTGTTCAGTGTTAATGGGTTGCATCAAGATGTTCTTGCCTTTCATCTGAACGGTCATGTATGCCTTAGGACTGGCGGTGCGGTCGCGGTCGCGGTCGCGGTCGCCATTGCGCGACTGGATATTCAGCTAGAAAGCAACGAGTTACGGCGCTTGCTTGACAACACGTGGCCGTTGCTTACCGATTCGATGATCTGTCTGATTTCGTTGTCGTATGACCTATGGTCGCTTGACGGAGGGCGCAACTTGGATGCATATTCACGGTCGTAGCCGGTTTCTGACCTGATCCTGTTTATCGGTTCGATTCCTTCGCTGTTGATTCCGAACGCCAACAGCAACTGGTTCCACATGCCGGCGTAGTTGGTGCTGAAAGCGGCCTTCAGGATGTTCGGGGCGATCGTTCGACCGTCCTGGACGCTGAACAACTTCAAGCTGATGCCGGTTTTCAGGTTGTCACTGTGGAACGGTATTTCGTTCGAGAAGCTCAATGGCGACAGTTGACGGATGTTGAACATGCGAAGCAGCTGGTTGATTTCAGTCATCCTGTAACATGCTCTGCGTTGGCAATGACATAAAGTGTCTTTTAGAGGTCAGTTTATTTGCTGGCTAAACTGTGTTCCCGTACTTTCCGAAGAAACCGCCCCAATAGCTGTGTAGATGTTTGATTTATTTTAGAACATTTTTGATACTCCTTCAATGTAAGTAGCACCTTATGTTGCCTGATAATTGATGACGTCATGTTTCCAAGCTAAGTTCGGTTATATAGGTAAAGTTGCTGCTTGACCGCCTATCTGGTCCCGGGAGAATTGCGACTGGTGTTGAGCAGGAAAACAGTTTCCAGAACGGTCAATAACTGCGCTTTCAACCACCCGTGATCCTTGCGGTCTAAGCTTGTGCATGTTCATCTATGTTGCAAGGCGTATTGGAACGTTTTGTGTCCTTCTGTGCCGTTCTATATCACGAAACATGTCTGTACGCCACATTAGATGATTTGCTGATAGTTGTCATACTGCTACTCTTCTGGCAAAATATCTGATGGTTATGACCGCATTCAATGAGTTGCGGTCAGCTGGCGCAGAGGTGCGGTGAAGGCGTTTGCGGTGTCAAACACTGCAACACACCTCTTGGACTTTGCCTATGTTCTGCGACGAGTCACGGCTACTTTTCCTTGCTGGAATACGGTTGTAAAATGTCGATTTGCAACCATTTTGTGGCTACGTAATTTTTTTAATAACTACGCGTGTGCCTCTCCCGTACCTCGCAGAGGGACGTATCCGTGAAATGCTTACATCTGCTTTGCGCACGGCTGTTGCGATTCCTGAATGCTCTTCAGCGACGTCTGAATGAAATTCGTCACTTGTCTCGACGGGTCGATTTTCATGATACGGATTAGTTGTTCCAATACGTTCTTCTTTGGCAGAGTGTCGATTATCATGTTGATGGCCGCCATTCGGACTACCGGGTTTTCGGTGCGGTCAGCGGCGACCGGCATCAAGATGTTTTCGATCTGAATCATGGTACACAACGTGGAATGCGGCCTTACCGAATGGTGTTTTGCCGTTTCTTACCTTCTTAGGCATCACGTCCTTCAACTGTCGCATTGCTAGTATTGCTTCGGTGCGGATGATCGGTGATGACGTTCTCCATTCACCGGTCACGAACTTCTCTAGCTCAAAGATGCTGATATCGATGCCTGCGTTGCCGATCGTTCTCAGGTACAGCACTTTGTCTTCCCAGGTTTGCGCTAGTCGAAGTTTCTTAACCAGTTTCTAGGACGGAGGTGAATGATGACGACGTCACAGACACGTTCGATAGTCGGCGGCGGAGTCTGTCTTACCTCAACGTATAGCTGTTTGTCCTGGTGAGTGCAGCGTTTCTCCTTGCCCGAGTCGTCGTCGACCGCCAGCCTATCCTCGTTGTCCGAACACATAGCGTTGATTGTCGAACCGATGGTCAGCGCGACCGTCCTTTTCAGTTGCGGGTCGCGGCGAGTGACGTCGCACCGGCTCAGCTCCTGTAAGAACGAAACGAACCAGACAGTCTGTCAGTAGGGGGATGGGGGCCGACAGGTCGGCCAACATCACTCACGATCAGTTGGTCAACAATTTCACGCGAAGCCATGCGGTTGTTGACCATGGACATGATGGCCAGGTTAGCCTTGCTCGGCGGGATCTCACCGTTGCACGTCTTCTTCACCACATGCTTGACGCACTTGATCGTGCCACATTGGGCTATCGCATGAGGTAGAATGTCCAGCGCCTGCGCCTTTTCTTCAGCGGTCAGTGAAGCCGACTGGTCGGCACGGTAGTACCGGTTATGGATGTGCTCGATTTCGGTCGACGTACTACGTCTCAGCACTTCTACCAGCTTGGCGAACGTCTCGGTGCTAATTTCGTCCACCTTCCTGTTCATGTGCCTCAACAGTTTCCTGAGAAGGTTTCCAGCTCGTTCGACCGAGTCTTCGTGCATCATGTTATTGTCGAAGATCGGTTTCGGCTCATCGAAGTTCATACTGAATTTTTCACGTTTCTTGTCAGCTTCCATGCTGTAGATGATTCCGGACCATGAGTCTACTGGCTGGCGCATTTCGCTGGGTCGTTCTCGGCTGTCTTCGATGTCAACCAGCTTAAGGTTGATCCTAAATGCCAAACATGAACATGACCAGTTTAAAGCTGCAGCCGTAGATGATCGACTGGCTGTGTATTGCAAAGCCACTACAGTAAGATTAGTCAACGTTTAAGAGACTTCATTTCAGCAAAGAAGCCGTTCGGTTACAGTCGCATTACTGACAAACTCAGTGTGCATATGCCATGAAAATCAACCAGTATAACTTAGAATTCGACTGTTTTGGGCGGAAATCGATTTTGTTTGAGGGTGAGGGCGACGAACGGCTATAAAGTCAGACTTACATGAATATCGTTTCAATGACGTTGTCCTTTTCGTTGTGCGGAATGAATGTGTATCGGCTTTCGGCAGTGGCGTTTTCGATAACAAACCTTTCCGGGCTACCGGCCAAGTTGTAGTTGATGATCGTGCTACTCTTCACGTACTTCTCCTGTGGTGAAAATCAGGTCCGTTAGAAACGAGGCCTGAATCAACGGTCCGCTACGCTTACGTCGTCGTTGTATTTCGACTCACAAGTCGGGCATGAGTCGGCAAACCGGAAGTTGTACCTGATTTGAGGTCGTCGTCGGCAGCGTTCGAAGTTTATGCTTTTCGTCACCTTGGTTGAACGGATCTCGAACTGCTCCTTTTCAGGTATGACCGTGTAGAACACCTCGCATTCGCCCTCGACCGTGTTCTAGAATCGCGACGTGTACGAGCTCCTTCTACACCGTTGTACGTACCTCCAACGACCTGAACGACGTCGGTTGGTTGATCCTCTTGTTAGAATCCAGAATGTTCATCAGGTTTGAGTGCTCACTCGAGTCTGTCTTCTGCGTTTGCATCATGTTCAGCTGCAGCATGCTCAGAATACCGCGTTTGATGTTCGCCGACGTCGGCGTGTCCGACTTCTCCAGCGATATGTAGTCGATCTTCAATGTCAACGGTTCAATAAGTGTTAAACCTGTGACTTACGTGCGAGCTCCCTCACCATTCCGTTACGGTAAGAGAACTCGATTGGCAGCTGCAACGCCTCCTTCTGTTCAGGACTCAGTTCCGTCCGCTCGTACCAGTCGATCGGCTTGATGATGTCCGGGCGTGGGTCAGGGGCGTTGAAACGACCCTCTCTGAAGTTAGAGATGGTCATCGTTATGCGGTCGTTCTTCTTCGCCTCCAGTTTAATGTTGCACGAGGTTCGCGTGCCGCTGCGTTCAGAATTCGCCTGCGGTACGCCGGTCGATACCTGACTGTCGTACACATACTTGTAGGTCGTGTCCGGTCGGATTCCTAAACGAAACGATCAAATACTGCAGCGACCGGCCAATGTCGTAGAATGGTCAGCATCCTTACGGTCTGCGGCTTTTATCCTCTCCTGTCTTGAAAACGACGGACCTGAAAGCAGACGGCGAAGGATTAGCACACAAAGCCCAACTCAGACAACCTAGCCTCTTACCGATCACCAAGCCGATCACCAACAACAGCTTCAACAACATTTTCCTTTCCCCGGTTCTGGCAAACTGGCAGAAAGTGAAAGTTCTTCGCTTAGCCTGCGATCCGCTTATATAGTATCCACAAGAACCACTCACTGTTTACCAGCTGATCCGTCATCGGCACAAATTGTCAACCGGAGACAATCAATCTCGAATCTACATTGACAACTTTGCATGTGTCGGTCGTCTTGTTAGACTTTGATTGTCACAAAGCAACGCTTGCTTGTTGCTGAAAGTTTTTTTCACAGCTATACAAAGCCTTTGATAACCGTGTAACAGATCCAGCCGTGATAAATGAACGTCCACAGTTCTTCGCAGCCTTCGTTGTTACTGCTCTCATTTTAGTTCTTCCTTACGTCACAGCCTATCAGAGGTCAGTGACCAACTGCTGCCTATACCGGCTAACAAATCTTCTTCGCTTATCCGATGTACACTTCAAGTTTTGAGTTCGATAGACGCTCGGGATAGCGGAATGCAGAAGCTGCTTTATGCCATTCTGTCGGATCACCTCAGCTTCTATTCGCTTGTTAGAAATATACCATGTGTTAGGAGTATAGGTTATATTATGTGTCGTTCAACGATAAATACGCATCGTGGCTTGCAGCTTTTCCGCTGACTCGTAGACTTCTGTATTTCGCTGTAATCAGATTTGAACCCTCGTTTCGCTGACCAATCCCTTTAGGTTCCTGACAGGTCGTTTGCTACCGTAAAAGCTAATACAGTGCATGATGCTGCAGCAGAAAACAATTGGCCATTAAAGAAACACAGCTGTTGTCCGTATAACGATATATTTTCGTTTATGATCAAAACCAACCAACAAAGTAGCGAACAACTCGTCGTTCTGAACATCCTAGCCTGACGCAATTAGCAAACGCTTCTACTGCCCGAAACTCGGTGAATTCTGGACAAGACGGCAAAGGAATAGTTGTACTTACTAGTTAAAGGCGAGTGTTCCTCGTTAAAGTACCAAACTGTATTAAGTGCTGGCACTGAATCACATTTGTCAAACTTTTCGTACGAAAAGTGCGAACTGTAGTGTTACCCATCATCTCAGCCCAGCAGGAGGGTCTGGTTTTACGGCACACGTAGATTCATGAATTATCTTACAATTCTACCTTAGTAACGTTCCTTTTATTCTGATCGAGGTTCCAACGGCTTCAGTATCGGCGTGAAAGCTGATTCCTTTCCACATTCACATCTAATGAAGTGTCTCTCGTACAATTGTGTATAGCAAAGTGGTTTCGAATTATCCTGATGAAGTTTATTATACCGCAAGAGTAATCACTTAGCTGAGACACGTGCCACGACTCGATTACGGATTTTGTCTGCCCATTGTCACCTCAGGTAGCATACACCTGTTTCATCACGACTTTATAGTAGTTTCTGTTTGCCGCCAAACGAACAAACTCAGTGATGTCATGTCTTCTATGACGCTTTTTATGTTCACCAGCAAACACATTTGGATATGTAATTTTTGATTTCGATAATGTACTTTTCATAATGTTCGACAGTCATCTGTTGGGTTTTCAATACGAAATGCAGCCTTAACAGACGTACGTTTCGCGTACTGTGATGTAACTGCTAGGAAATATCATTTTATCCATGTGGCTGGGAAGTTAGCTTCTTACAACTCGTTTCTTGATTGGTTGCACGAGGCAAAGTGGTGTGAAATCGTTGGTCTAGAGAATTAGCTCTTGAGAGTTGCTTGTGTAGATTTCGAAGCCTACTTCTAACCATTGTTTCACTCGTACCTCACAGATAAACACTGTGCCTCTTTTCGCAGGCGATTTGAGTGCCGTAAGATCACGACATATTCTTGTAATGCTGTAGCACAGACGATGAGTGAACAATTTCATATAGTTTAGCCGATATGGCAACGCACTGCTCCTCAATGATGCTTCAGCGCTTGATGAGAGGCAGGCGATTTGGTCTATAAAATAAGACACCAGCAATCACCTAGATGGTCCGACGCCAGGCCCGAATTGCATTTCTTGACAGTCACTGGGGGACGTCTACCACCATAAGCTGAAAGATCCTTTCATTGCTACCGCCGAACTTGCTTCGAGTACGGAAGAAGGTGATATTGTGATCTTGAACTGTCAGTCAACGCAGACTGAAGATAGGCAAGCTGCCGTTACAGAACTTTGAACAGTGTAAATGGTATGATCGCATGCGACCAAGAAACAGAATTTCGGCAAAGAGGATATGATAAATATGTCCTGTCGAGATGGCCAGGTATCTTGCATGTTATTCGAAGCGAATGCCGAGGAATGGGATGGATAGGGATCTCGAAATGGTTCAGAAAATCAAGCGAAATAACGGGCGATATGCCTACCTACCACCATGTAGTAGCCTTCGACCGATAATCAGCTTACATCCATGTACACCGGCAGTCCTTGCGGATCATATCACCATACCGTGGAGTACCATAGCAAATCATCGATCTGCTGAAACGCCTGTGGGAAGGTGCTAAGGTGCCATCACAGCAGAAGAGCTGTTGAGGAACTGGATAAAATCAACAGTACAGGTGTTTAACGTCCGATTTGTAACATGGTGATGGATCATGTAATGCGGAGCGACATTGGTCCCAGCGACAGCGAGGGATTTACTATTAGGTGACAGCTAAGCCGTAGGTATGAACCAGTGCCCGTAGCAGATGTCGAGTACGCTGAAGATACTGTACTGTTAAGCGACACTGCGGATGGTATACTGGCAGTAGCTCGAGAAAGGTGTACAGTGACCTCGACAGGAGGCTTCGAAGTTAACGCACCAAAATGAAGATTTTGCCAGCACCCGACTCGACTAACGACGCAGAGATTCATTGGAGTGAACCACCATCGAGGAGGTCACGAAATTCAGTTACCTCCACTGCTTTCTGCAAAGAGGTATTGCGACAATTGATGTACTGCAGCGCTTAGGATAGGCACTTCTGAACTTGGCCGACTTTCTATACTGGGTTAAAACTGCTCTATCCGGTCATTAACAAAGATCACCATATTGAAAGCCGTCGTCTTCTCAATGCTGGTGTACAGCCTTGAGAATTGAACATTTCTAAAGCGCGACGAAAAGATGCTGCAGGGTCTTCAGAAGTGTTGCGTTCGGAATATTATCATAGAGAATGCAAAGATTTTAGAGATGACCGGCCTGCAATGCTGTTCGAAGAAATCAGATATCTGCGTCTTTCGTGGTTTGCAGCAGAACCATCTGGCGGCACAATGGAAACTCATTGAAACTGATTATCCTCTGGGAAGCAAAACATTCTCGCAGACGCATCAGAGACCAAATTCGCACCCTTAAACAGATGCTAAATGCATGTTGCTTGCGACGAGCAGAATTATTTTCATCACAGAAACGAACATCGCATACGTCATTCTCAGAAGCCAACGCGACAGTCGTCATTAACGTCGCTACTCTATCATTGAACATGACACCCCAGGTGTTAATGACAGCTACACGTGACCACGAATAATACACCTTGACATTTTCTATGATTGGTTTGAACAATTGCTTGACGCCATACGTTTGAATAGATGCTAATGCACAAGTTGGCGAATGTGAAACTAGTGTCCCACTGGTAAAATAGTTCGTTTCGGCAAACATGACAGTGGTAAATGGATCGATATTCCTCAACCTCGCCAAGTGACCCAGCTTGGCAGTTGCGACGACCCTAATGCGAAATCTGGGCTCGCAAGGATCACAAGGCAACTGCGTAGCGTATGTCCTTTGACCAGCAAAAGAGCGTGTGTGAAATACGTTAGAACCACAGCCAGATTACTTACTGATCGTACAATTGACAGCACATTGTAGATTGGTCTAAAGTATCTGCAGATGGTCCTGTCATGGCTTATCATGTCCCGGTTACCTTGACAATGGCGCCGTATGTTATTCCATAAAGGTTATAGACCATGCCAAGTTTTGTTACAAGAAAGTTCAGATTCAGGGAGAAAATTTCGTACATGCAAACACGACTATCAGCTATTCGACCTCTTTTTCTTTCTGCTGCAGGAACATGTCGCATTACCGAAAAGGATGCGAATGCGATGGGCGTATTTGGACACTAGTGTGGGACCAGTTATGGTACCTACCGTTTCTTCATGAATGGAAGCTTCTCCGGTGGGTCATAAAAGGGCAAGGGTCGATCAAAGGTCTGCAAAAGGCGGACGTGGCAGCATGCAACCTCAAGGAACAATCTTGAGGTGATCTGCTTTTCAAACGGTATTTCATTTACAACGCAGTAATCGATCCCTTATATCAAAGGTTTTGTAAAGCTTCCAATACAACGGATATCGCAAATAACGGCGCTCATCTTATGCACATGGCGATAGGTTATCATCAGACAAACACATATTCGGATTCTTTAATTTCGTCTTATTTGCTCATGCCTGCACCTGGCATATCTAAAACTTAATTTGTGTTGTACAATGCTACAATTCTTGTAATCCATAGTATTTGGTTAATACAGCAGGTGTGCTGAACGCTTTCTGTATTGTGATCTCTGTTACAATTTCCAATATCCCACTGCAATCGACAGGACTGAGAGCGAAGTTCATCCGACAATGTTAGAGGGTTAGCACAGTAATCGCTGACAGTGTGTCCAGAAATCGAAAATGCTGCTGCGCTGAAAACCGTCAACCGTGGAATGTAATCGCGCCTGTGGGAAGATTGTTTTTGGAACTTGGTATGTTGTGGGCATTTTTCCCAACGGTTGCTGGGTGAGATAACCATAGCATTGTGCTAATGTTATCAGTATGTTAACAAAATGTCGTTTGTGGTTGACAGTGGCAAATGTGGTCCTATTCTAAAAACAATCAGCGATATGATATAGAAATTCTTGTTACGGTATCAAGCGAAACATGGCTCCATAATGGAAAATCCTTGAAATCGACGGAATTTGGTATCCAATTATTGACTTGTTCAGTTCGCTACACAGTGGTACCTTTGGAAAAGTTTTGTGAGGCAGCATTTACTCTCGCGACTTCAGGGGTACAAACCGTCCTTGTGTTTCCATTGCTGTTTTAACACCTGTTTTTGCAGTAGCGATGTATTGTTGGACGGTTTGGCACACTATCATTCCATTGTTAGCTATTCCTTGTTTATCCGATTGCTGCATATTTCACAGCTAATGTACATATTTAACGGTTGCTCTAATCCCTGAAACAGATGCAAGCATCTGACATTAGACCTTGAATTGGCAAAGAACTAAACCGAAAATGCTATTTTCAGAGGACTGGAACCACCTAGGATCTGCATTCGTTTATATTGCTACGTAGTCAACGGTTTCCGAACTCGAGACTGTATACACTGTATACAATGTACGCCGCTATCCTTCCCGTTTGTATGGGGCCCCATAATTTATCGGTGATTCGTTCTCCATGGCGTAATCACCTTGTGTGTAGTTACGAAGGAATAACGTTCATCGCACTCTGCTCTGCTCCTCTGTTGCTGCAATATTTCTTGACTGAACGCCTCAACCGAAAGGAAGCAGTGAGTGATGGCACAACATGCAGTTTCGCCAAAAATTATTCCCATAGTTGAAAATCTGTGATTCATTCGTCAAGTGCATTACAAATTAGACGCTATTCCGCTGTTGATGACGTCTGTCCACTGATTGCTCAAATTACTGCGGCGATTGAAGCTATGACTGCTGCAGGGGTGCGTATCATTTGCCTAGAGCATTTAGTGGTTACGGATGATCTCGCATTACTTGTAGACAACTTAGACGCTCTGAAATAACTATATTAAGTTCTGAACGGGAGATGTTCAGATATGGGACTCTTGATTAACTTAAAAAATACGAAATGGACGGAAATTCGTAGTACCAAGATCAGAAGTATCCCTTATCCTTGACAATGAAGTTGCAGAAAATGTCGAAGAAAATGTACATCCGCATTTTGAGAGTACAGTGGCTTCAGAGAGACTGGTGAAAAGTGAGTTCAGAGGCTTCGTGCAACCTACAGCAAGCTATTTAAGCTCTGGAAGGTTAATGATATTGGCAGTAATACAAAATCGAACGAACAAATGAACTACGCTTGCATTCTCGACAATTTGCACTATCGCCTGGAGTCAGCAGGATCTTATAACCTGACGGAATAATACTGAAAAAAATAAAAATTCTATGGTCAAGATTAGGAGCTAATCTTAATGACGTGCATGATACCTGCATAAAATTGGCATATAAAATCAAAGTGACGGATTGCCTGTAGATCGAAAGTCTGAGAGAGAGGGTGTTTGCAAACTCTGAGACGCTGCTGGTTAGACGTTAGACCTTAAGGCAGGTTGCCGACAAGGAGGCCTCGAGCAATATGACAAGAAGGGCTGAAACGAACCTTTCCACTGAAGTGATTGATCAGCAAAAATGTTAAGAGAAGAATATGTACCTTGCTGTACCTGCCGGATATCGGAAAAGGTTGCTTCTCGCTGCTGCCCAATACAGTTTCTTGAACAAATTAGCCACAATATTTTTGGGCAGCAATGCAGATCATGGGTTCTTGTTCGAATGGAACGTTTGATTTTGCCTTGAAGTCGTTTAGCCACCTTTTGCTCAGAACGTGAACGTCGATTTTGACATTAAAGTGGGGGTCATGAGGAGTCAATCTATATCGATTATTCCTGAAAGCTTAACTAGACGCCGCAATGGTAATTCGTCTATTTTGAACGACTTCTACTCAGGAATGAGATAGGTTGTGCCGGTACCAACAGGTCCGGTCCCCAGTTCTCTCTTATATTGACCTTCCTCTGCCGTGTAGGCCAACCATTAAATCGTGCAACATATTTAATCTGCAGTCAGGATATTTTTTACCTCCCGAGAGGACCAGTCGACACCAGCCGACACTGATCTGCACTTCTTGAGCTTGTGCTGGCTCGCCGGCCATCTCGGATCAGCCTGTCTGCTTTCCATGGCGACTCTTTCCATTCCAGTTCTTTTGTGATAACTGAAGTGCGAAGGCAAATGTGATTGAGGAACGAAATTTCTAGAAGGCAATAAAGAGAATTGCCAGAGCTTGGCTCATGAAATATTTGACAACACATACGGTACAGTTTCATTCGTGATACGATGACACTAGGTTTACGTTTTATGCTCCGGGCCTTTATGCAATCTGTGACAAATCAGACTTCCAGCGTTTGACTTCAACATTACGACAATCCGTTTCAATTTTCAGCAGTTCAGAAATGAATTAACTTCAAAAATTTTTTACCACCATCCATAAACTTTGCAACCATTTAGGAGCAAGATTCTACGAATAAGGTCTATCACTAATAATTCACATGATCCATTCGCCGCATATTCCGCAACCATTTTTCAGTACCTCCAAATTACGGCCATCACAGGGACAAGTTTCCTAAAAGTGTTCATTGAAAATCTGGCATGCCTTCCTCGTTAAAATCTAATTCTACAATACGTAACACACAATAAAATAAATCTATGATTACGTTTTATTTTCAAGACATTGGTCGCTCTCAAATGCCCCTTGTTAAAAGGAATTTTTACCTTATTTACTTCAAGGAAGAATCTGTTGTAATGAAAGAGTTCTGAAACGAGCAGTGAAACGGAGCACAAACAACCAAGCACATCAGTCAACCACGCGAACGATGTATTAAGTGAGTTTGCTGAATAGTGGGGTTAAATTTTCTGCCCTCAACTCTGTCTACACGTCAATCAAGAGTGCGGAAGTTCTACCTAGACAGCATGATGGCTTTCACAAGCAACAAAAATAATTTGTGTAGGAAGACAGTCATGCAAAATGGTGACACTGAGAAGACCACTGGCCGTCCACCGACAACGGAAGGTTGTGCATCGGAAATGCTACGTATAGCGTGACTTTCTCAAGGACCGAGTGACACAAAATTGTTGGAATAGAGTGACTGTTTGACTTAAGACGCATATTCTACAACGGCTAGGACGATTCTGATATGATTTTAAGTGCATCTGTTAAGAGCGACGAACACTAATCGTTTTCCTTCAGTTATTCAGCATTACCAAACAGTTTATTAATTGCTGGAACATAGACAACGTCGTTTTTCTGAACGTCATAATCGTAATAACGACAAACAACCGCCTGTTTCGTGTCGTTTAGAAGCAACGACATGAAATATATTGAAGAAAAGCATGTCGAATTCAAATGAGTTTCAGAGATAATTTGTGTTAACGACTTTTCAAACAACTGTATTATGATATGTGATTTAAATCAAACAGCGAAAACAACTACAATTGATCAGCCAATATCAAGTTATGGTAGTGGACTACTATCGAAACTGCAGTCATCGGAGAAAAAGACAGAGATTTGCGCTGCACATCTATACCTCTTTACCATAGGGAATACTCGAAATGCCAACTCTCATAAACAAACCAGTTGGAAAAGCATCCATCCATTATTAACTGTTTCAACAGCTATATTTTCTCGTGAACAGAAACAATCAATTTTGGGAGTTTCTTCAGAAGCAAAAGCCAACTTTTGTAGAAACACAGAAAGCACGGAGCGACTACGGTAGTTGGCAAAGCATGCAACAGAGCAGATTCAAAAAGTCAAACATCAGTGTTATCAGAGTTTTCCCATGCTCCTAATTTTCGTAAAACAACACTTAAGTTGATGAAACATTCAATTCAATGTTCGAAGCAAGATTCGTGAGAAACAGAAGGTACAGGGCTAAAAGAGTTAAGGCCACCATAAACAGGCTAAGGAACTTACAGATGAATAAATAAATATATTCGCAACCACTCTGCCCCTTCAGCTACTGAATAAAATCCGGTCTTTGTGCTTAAACGACTATTCATTAAGTTGTAGATTTCGCCTCCCGTTGAGGTCTGTAACTAATTATCGGCTTCACGTGAAATCAACATAAAATTTCGTTTCAAGTAAGATAAAGGAAACAGACAATTTTATGTCTCAGGAAACGCCATCGTATAGAAGGAGCAAACACTTATAGAAATATTCTGGCGTCACTGGTAAACCTACGACGCAGCAACAGAGTAATCTTAGCATGGGATGTAAATTAGGGCCAATGATACAGTGAGGCCAATTTCGAAATCAAAAGAACTCATGTCGATTGTACGTACCAAACTAGAAAGATTCTTCAAGTGCCGCTGCCGAAGATAGTAGCTAAATTAGTAAACATTAATCAAGTATATACAATTCCCAACAACGTATCACAGATGCAGTATCAGAAAAAATTTTTCAATTAAACAACTAACCTAGGTTAACAAAGCACTTGAATGACCAGCAATAATTATTCACATAAATCATACAAAGATTTTTGATTTATGCGGAACAAAACCCTCGGTTAGAAAATCTTAGGCTTTTGATAACGATGAGAGATATGTAGCTGGCAATTAGGTCATATCACTATAAAACGCTTAACGTTAAGCAGTAAGCTGGTAGCTTGTTTCTCGTTGGCTAAAAGAAACGGAAGCAGCACCCGCTTTCATTTTTCCCGTTCTGAACAAAATTTTTCACGTAACCTCTTCTCTTAATGCTCAGACTTCTGAAATTATTCACATCTTCTGCATCATCCGCAGTTTCCACACAAGGCAATAAATGATCCAACCACAATGAAGAAACAACACAAATGAACTAGCGGTGCTCTAACCACTACGGATGGATGTGAATAAACTGTTCTTATAGTGCACACTAGTAAAAGCAACTACACATACCCAGACTACCAAATTCTTCCAATTCTCTTGTTGAAGATTCTATTTAAAATAGGAAACGCTAATTAGTTATCAGCAACTACCAAGTATCCAGAATAGCCGTGGTACAGAAAACATTTTTAATTAAGTACCTTTACTGTCAAAACGAGTTGCTGAAGGACTCAAGTGTTAAACCTCATAAATCATACAACATTTGATCCTCATCAAGGAAAACCCTCCAATATCAAATCAGAAGCATTTAATTAGCGCCAGAAATCTGCACCGATGAATTGGTTCATATACATTTAAAGGAGCAGACGTCAGGTGACAAGAAAGAACAATACTTTCTAGTCGGTTAAAAGAAATGAAAATAAAGGCTACATCCATTTTTTCGGCACTGCAAACGCTGTTATGCGTACCGTAATCTATCTATCTCCAGGTTAATAGAATCCCTGTTATGTCGCGTCAATTCTGGACTTACCACGGAAACCAGTCAATCCCTCCTTCACAAACCGGGTATTAAACGTAATCAAACTGAACTGCCGTCATTACTTGCGATGGATCCCATTAAACCGTTTTTATTGACGACAATAATCAACGCTAGATTTAGACGCAAATGCGACCATTGTAAATGCGTCCATTTACATCACTTAAGGACGCAACCAAATACTGAAAACATATTTCAGACCAAAGGACATATTACAGACGGCAAGAAACTCACCCCTCAGCTGTAACGTTTCTGCATATAACAGAAATCGATCAATAGATCAAAATTCAGTTTCATTAGGAATGAAGCAAGCACATCAATTGTTTGAATTAATTAAAAACAAACGTCTTGCCAGTACCTGGTTCATATAAGGTTTACATTCTTCGCACACTTGTTTAAGAGCGGGGTTAGACGATTTGCACACATTAGTGAGAATCGGTATCAAGTTCTGGCATTTCTCTTTTGAATATCCCCCTG